AATTTTCTATCATCATTGTCCCTACAGTTTCCTTCCATCATTCCGCGAAGATAAACCTCGGAAAGGTTAGGATATTAAATATGCTATGCTGCAAATGTGAAAGGATCCTACACTAGATCTGAAACTTGAATTCGTAAACAATTTGCCGATTCCAAAATTTGCATTGCTTTCGATTGAAAAATTCATGCAAACCCACACCTAACGTTGGGCCTACTCGGTAAACTCATCTTGACAACACGATAAGATTGGTCTGCCTTGCTTTGATGATGTACGGCGGGAAAACCCAAGTCCAACCAAGAGCTACTCAAAAACATTAACTCCCTGCTTTTCAGGTAGAGCTGAAATCTGTATTAACATGGAAGTCGCCATTTTCCTATAATAACATTTGGCGAGCGTTTGGCTGTCACGGTCCCAGTGTTCGAACACGAGTAAGGTTTCAAAATATGCTTCCCGGGAGGAGCTCGAAGAGAAGCGTTCAGATGACAAGTTAAGGTACTACCGAGATGCGCCTCTCATCCCAGAGACTGCCTCCCGTCGTCAAAGGCTACACGAATCCAAACCGAAAGGAATCGACTCGGCAAGGGGAACCACTCTCCCTCCGTACAATGTGCAAGAATTGCCGGGAGTCTTCTCGAAGCTACGTTACGTCTCTCGACGAGCGAACCGATCGGAACGACTTCCTTCCTTCGGCTCGTACATGCAAAATTATCGAGTGGAGAATGAGAGCTTCCGCAGAACGATCGATTTGCATCAAGGACATCGGGAGACACACAGTAATGGGTTCGTTGCCACTTCGCTTACATTATGGGAACTTAATTTTCATCGAACGAACGGCTAGATGTCGGGCCTCGACGGGGCGGGAACCCCGTCCGGGGACATCCACGGGCAGACCCCGAGAGGATGTCCTTGGAAGTCCCTTTGCCGAGCGTCCAACGGACGTCCAAAGACGGACCGGCGCATCGTTTCGTTCCTGATGTGGAACTCTGAATGGAATCATGCGTTGGTCCGAGACTAGCCAGAAGTACTTTGGGTCTCCTTCTGCTTGATTACCTCCTTAAATATGTCTATCTAGGAGTTCCTATACCTTCCCCTATGCTGTAAATGGGAAAAGATTGGGTACTATCTGAGAAACGCAGGGTACTGGTTATTTAAAGGCATCAGGATAAGAATCGCGGAATCGGCGGTTATGTGCCATCTCGCGTCGATTCGTAGAACCTATTTTCTGTTGATATGATGTGGATAACTCCACGTAAAAACAACATTGAGAATATGATTTTTTTTTTAATTTGCTCCTAAATAGCCTCTGAACGACTTCCCTTATTCACGAGTAGTCACCAAATGCTGAAAATACGGTAAATTATGAATAGCTAGCATTTCACTGATTTTTTTTTTTCGTCGAATTCTCAACTTCAACCAAGTCTCAACGTTTTAACCTATTCTCAATGTTGATACAACGTTGTTGTGCCGAATGGGCATAGTATAATTAAAATATGACAAAATCAGATGTATAGTACCTTTGAAGAATATAGCGTGTTTAATTTTCCCAGAAAGCTTATTGGTAAGTGCCTCACAGTTTGCTTAGAGGAGAAAGCGCGGGGAGGGGGAAATTCCTCTCTTTATGGCGACTACCTGTCAGAACCACTGAAATAAAGGTCTCTACCTTCTCTAAGAGACCTCTCTCTCTTCTCTCAGTGGTCAGAATCGGCCAAATTTAGAAAGTCCTCTTTGTGGCCGTATTACACAGGTTTTACTGTACCCTAATAAAATTTCGAACTCATTCACTGGTCTGGAGTTTGATGTTCGGTTGGTTGGACGGGGAAGAAAACTTCAGAAAGAGAAGCACAATCGAATATCGTTAATATCATCATCAAGATTTCGTTTTTGTTTCGTTACAGCATCGAATTCCGTTTCGACGCCAGATGTCTCTACTTATCCGTTAATGTCCGTCTCCGTGGTCTCTGCTTAGTGTAAAGTTGTGATCTCTCGTTGACAGGCAACTGGGAGGGATTGAGCATTGTCACCAACAGTACATGGCTATCTTTGGTCGCGGATTGAATACATAGAGCATTATAGTTTGACATTTGGAACTGGCGAAATAGACCTTAAGTCAGGCGAGATATGGCACAGACCTACAGTTCGGGATTGGTGAACGGGTCAGAGGACAGTGGTTATCCTGCAATGGACCTCGGAGGGAAACTTATCATCAAGGTTTGAACCGTTTGACTCAGCTCTGTTTTGGCCTATAGTAAGTTTGGTCTAGGTTTGATTACTTTTGACCTTATGTTAGCCTTAACGTGAGGACCGGCATGGAGTAGGCCTACGTGAATGGTTTCATGTCCTGTGGTTTTCATACTTATTCAATTTGAAGGACTTTACTTTTCCAACGTCTTACATACCCGAAGCATGTATATAATTGAATGTGGATCATTCTATGTCAAATCAATATAGTGTATAATGTTGACCTATAATATGAATGAAACTTAACAGGTTTATTATTACCCATGAGGAATTAACTCACTAATTTGGGTTCATGTGATCCCTGGTTTCTTAGAGCTGAGATCATGAAATTTAGTCTAAAATGCCTTCTGGTCATACTTTGATCTCTTCCCCTTTGTAACTTCTGTCCTAATTGAGTAAGAGAGCTCATATTTGGCTCTTCTGTTAGCTCTTCTTGAGCCCTTTCAATAATCTTAGATGAGTTTTGTGTAAGCGCTGAAAGTTTACATTAAGAGGTCATGTTGAGTCTTTATCTTATATTAGCATTCTAATTTAATTTTGAAAAATCTTGGCCAGTGTATAGGCAGGGCATGTGACTATCTCTGGATGACTTTGTATTCTTCAGAAGTTCAAGGGAGAAGAGCTAATAAGCATACCACTGATAGTAAAGAAAGTCTATGCAGTCTATAAGTGTTTAAATTTAATGGACTACTGAGTATTAAACACTAAAGTAAGAAAAATTTAAACCAAAAACCATACAAAACCATGTCTTGAGAGTTTCTTGAAGGTAAATTCTATCTACTGGATGTTCATGTGAAGACAGGCAGATGGTTCCATCATTTCCTCTTTGAGCAGTTTGTGTGTATGTCCTGTTCCTATGAAGAGCACAATCAGTGAATGAATTTGATTTGTTTGCAACTAAATATTTTGTGGAGACAAATGCTGTCTCCTTAGCATGGCAAGGGCTAATATGTACCATGTGCATGAAATAAAGTCTACTTGGTGATGTCAATTTTTATATGGGCTTCAATGGGAATAACACAAACCCCTTCAAATCTGAATAATTTCTGATTTAAAATTTTTTTCCTTTATAATGTGGTATTGTGATGGGAAAATAATTCATTTCAAGGGTTTTCCAAATTTTTAAATGTAACAGTAAACAAGGTATTGGATGTATATACAGATGTACAAATGGTCTCAGTTATAATTATTTTATTTAAAAAAATTATATAAAATAAATTTATGTACATGAGTATGTACACAAGGTTTAAAGGGGTTAACTCAATTGTATTCTCATAGGGGCCTATGACAAGGTTGATTGCCTTCAGTTTATTGGATTTCATTTGTAGGGCCTAATATCTCAGATTTACAGAGTGCTCAAATTAAAGTTTAAATAATTGAAAGGTATATTTTTTAAAGAAAGCAAGATGGCTACTCTGCAATGGAGGTCCAAGTAACCTCTAACCTTAGAAAACCCAGTTTGGTGCTTGTGGTTACTCCAGGGATACTTTATATGAGTTAAGCCTTTGCCATTATCTTTTATGCTCCACTTCTTGACACAGGTGTACCAAGTACTCAGGGTCTTGTTGGACATGTTAGGGACAGCAGGAAGGAAAATATAGCCAGACCTAGTTAATTTCATACCTGGATGACCCTTGTCACGAGAGCCAGTCTCATCACTCACCCTGCCAGAGGCCTAATCTAGACTTTGCAGCTGTAAATATGTCATAGTTCTGTTAGTTTTAGTTGTCATACAGCAAAAATGAGGCATGATAATTTCAGAGGGTTCAAACTTTCTGGTGAGCAATGGGGTAAGAGGAGTTCCTGGACTGTCCAATTGACATTTTCAGATATATCTAAATACTGTATATTAATGGTGCTCAACCCATGGCCCGTGGGAAAAAAATGCCCCTCGAGGTGCTTACAAATGGCCCGCAAGGCCCTAACTCACTATACCCTCAGGTTTCCATATAATTTTTCTTCTTCAATACTAGTGACTGCAATGGTTGTGGTAGTGAGCTATGTAGCCCCCTAGCTGAAAAGATTGGGCACAACTGCCATATATGAACTTTTCTTTATAGTCTTATAATGGATCTAGGCTATTATTTTGTGTTCTTTCCAAGATAGTTCATTGTACTTTATGATGTGACTTATTTCCAGGTCCAGCTTTGTGATGATATACGAGTGATCCCTATTCATAATGAGGATATTACATACGATGAACTGGTGTTGATGATGCAGCGGGTGTTCAAAGGACAACTCTCACCAGAGGATGAAGTTTCCATTAAATACAAGGATGATGGTTTGTGGCAATCTTTTATCTCATGGATGATTAACTTCATCAAATTTTTAAATATTTTCTTCAGTTTTCCAGTATTTTAAAGGTTTTAGTTCAGATGTATCATAGTGGGTCTAGTTTTAGGCATAGTCACAATTTATTTAAAGATATTGAAGATGACTTGAGTTAAACCCAATTTATTCAAAATTGTTCACCTCTGGTAGTCGTATGTCATCCTATGCATATAAAAACCTGAAATAGGAACAAAAGCATTCCAGAACATCAGCATGGGATTCAGAAATTCATCATATTACCGTTCTTATAGGACACTGTTGCCTGGATGCCCCCATGTGACAAAGTTACATACATCCTTAGCCAATTGATAAAGGAGAGGTGAAGAGAAGACTAACCTTAGTGCTTGCCTGGTACACACATTCTCTGGCACTTTCTCATAGGCCTGGGCATATGGGATGGGAGTGGATGCATGCTGAAGCTGACCATGATCAGATGTGCATGATGGTGTTGAGTTGTAAGCAAGAAATTACCCAACAGGTACAAACCTAGCATCACATTAGGGTTGGGCTATCTCGATATGTTATCATTTCATCACCTCTTCTTGATTTTTTTCTCATCTCCCCACCTTAGGTGAGAAAAGAAAACTAATGCAGAAATATCTGATTGCCCAATTATATATAGGGCAGTGCCAACTTCCACTATATCATCTAATGTTGATCATCAGCAATATATATACATATTGCAAAATTATTTTTCAATCTCATACTGCCCCTCCCTGATTACTCTGACTGCATACAAGGCTATGTGATTGATATAGAATGTTGAAAAAGCTGTTATTGGTATAGAAAAATTGCACATGAAACTTTCATCATTTGCTGCTCTCCAAATTTCTAGGGCTGAGTAGAGAAGGCTTGATGAAGGAAAACTTACTTGAGGAAGACTTTGTTGCAATGTCATTCAGAGCAGTTAGCTTATGGAGTTAATTAAGGAAATTTGGGTATCAACCAGTGGTTCTGCCTCTGGATGCTAATGTGAGGCTTGTATGATGGGAGAAATGGAGCAAGTACCACCACACCTCAATGGCATCATCACCTTGTGGTTTACCTCAAGAGGCCTTTTGTTGTCAGCATTTTTTACCAGAAAATTGATAGGATCAACCATTCAATGAAACTCTCCAAGTCATGACCTAGTCAAAGACAAAAGATATCAATGTCCTTTTCTGTGTGTGGGCAAGGAGTGATTCTGAGCTGCACTGGTGGTTTTTTCTATTGGATTTCTTATTCCATTTTAAGGGATTGTTGTTATTGATCATTATGATTTGAAAAATCGATCCCTTCAAGGTTTTGGTCACCCTGCATGATATCCCATAATGGATACTATTACTGCTTATATTGCCTGGTAACAATTTTAAATAAAATATTGGTATAGCTCTCAATAGGACAATTAAAAAGTTGAATTGTAAAGAAATGATGTGAGAGGAATAAAAATAGAGTAGATTAGCTCCTGTATGGGCTATTAAAGCTTAGGATTGTGTGCACACACTGCATACCACCCTAAGCTGAATCATGCATCATAGCACTAGAAGAAAATCCATCAATGAGCCCTTATTTATTGAAGTGCTATAGATTTTGTCAGATCACTGGAAATTCTCAAAGCTAGCACAAACATGTAGTAGATAAGCTCTTGTAAAGAAAGAAATGGTCTACAAGGGCTTGTTTATTTTATTAATCAGGTGGGCATGAGGTTTCCAAGTTTTTCATATTTCTTGGTGAAGACAAAAATTTCACAAGCAAATGTTGACATACAGACAATCAATCATGCACTGACATCTGTATTGAGGTTTTTTCTTCAAGATAACGGCTTTGCTAAGATATAACCCATATAAAAATATACATTAATTATAGTAAATTTTTTGAATGATAGATTTGCCACATATGAGTTGAAAATAAAAATTAGGTGATGTTTGAAGCAGTTCCTGATTGCACACTCACAAATGTGAAAACCTCATGCTGGCATAGTCAGGTGATTGCATAAGGAGCCTCATTCCTTTTTGCAAGAAAGGAGGCTGAAGAGGAGACAAGATGGTCTGGAAATATGGGAGGGGTTGGAGGTAAGATAAATGGAAAGTAAAATTGAGTTATGTCAGGATGGCCTATGTAATTATAAACCTATTCCCATGAGTGGTAAATTATGCATTGCTATGGAATACTTCTGAAACTGACAAGTTTAAACCTAATGCAGTTATATGGCTGTGGTTCCTTATTTAAGATGGAGACCTCGTGACAGTGTTTGATAGCAGTGATCTGGCATTTGCCATATCATGCAGCAGAATCCTTAAGCTGCGCCTTTTGGTTAAGCCAAAGGCTCGGCCATTGGACAGCAGTGATCTTCATTTGATGCGGAAGAAGTTGGAGGAGATGCAGGCCAACATTGCTGACATGCTTGATCGCATCAATCTCACTGAAGTTCCTGAGCCAAAACCTCATGGTAAAGTTGTGAACCCTTCACTACACTGTTTTTCCAATTGGGCACATACCTGTTAATTGTTAAGAGCTGAAGATTCACTGTGTGGAGAATAGGGAACTCTTGAAATGTTCACAATATTTCTAGTAGGGAAGAACAATATTTTCTGAATTTATGCTTGTAACCAACTGAGTTCTTTAGAAATTTTATATGCAGGGTGGGCAAAAAAAAAACAAACAAAGCTGTCATTTTTGGTAAGTTGTCAATCTGATAGTAGTTTGCCGATTCTGATGAAATTTGGTCAACTCAGGGTGACTCGGTTAGGGTTTGTGTGCCACGTTTCAAAAAGTTTTCAGTTTCCTAAAAACTGTGAGATTGGCATTTAATTGACTTTTTATCACAAAAAAAGTAAGTGTTCATTTTTTCTTTCAGCTTAAAAGTTTTCACGACTGACAAAAACAAACAAGCAAAGAAACAGAACAAAAAAAAAGCACAAATTTCAAAAATGAAAGTATACAATTTCATTTAGGGACATTCATTTCAATTGAAAAGGTGCTCAATGTGCCCTCCATTCTATTGAACACAAGCCTGTAGTCTGGGACATCACAGATCAATGATTCGGTCAATAAACCTTTGAGGCAGTGCCTCCCAATCTTCCTCTGAAGCATCATGCAGGGGTGGAATGTTATGAATTTTGTCCTCCATTTCATCCTGGCCTCAAGTTCATATTGAGATTTTAGACAGCACACTTCGTCATGGGTCATCAGAAAATAATTATAGCTCCTATAATTTTAGAGCCAGAAGGCTGAAATTCAGTATACAAATTCCAATTGTGTCACCTATAAGCCTACCAATATAAATCAAAATTGGCAGCCTACAAAGAGATTGAAGACTCACCAAAAGCATCTTTGTTTATTTTTTGTTGCTGTAATATGAATTGAAAAAATTATTTTTTATAATATCTTACATCTTGTTAGACATATTTCATGTTTTACTTGTTGCAGTTTCCTTGTTTTGCAGATTTCTCCCATTTTGGTTAAACACAGAATTGCAATAAAATGACAAATTTGGTAGTTCCATGCAAAATATGTTCTTTTGGTACCATTAAGAAAATGTATATGCAATTTGAATGTTTTTCTCCAAGGCTTTCATATATTATACAGTAATGGGTTAATGTGATGAAAAATAAGATTCCAGCTTGATATGTCAAGTCTCATCTTCAATGCACATAATTTACCTTTCCTTCATTAATTGATGTTTTATTAATTGTTGCTTGCTAATTAACAATATATTTTGGTGTCATTGGGATGGAAGGAAGTGGAAAGGTCATTTGCAGTAGAGGGTACGTTTTTATTGTTTGATCACTTACTTCACTGTGAACCCATTATCTATTCCAGGGGACAAGAAGATGGTTTCTACTTCAAGTGAAGGAGATGTAAAGCAAATTGTACAGCCCAAGGAATTTGATCCCCTGGATAACAGTTCCCCTCGCCACTCTGCTTTGAAAGGTGAGTAAAATTTTGAATAAAAATGAAGTAAGAACAGATTTCCTATTTCTTTCTGGTGAAGAGGGTAGTGCCTTGCTAATTGACTAATGTTGACACAAATGACAACTGACACATGATATCCAGCTTGTCATGCTCAATATCAGCATGTGATATATATGTAATATAGCTTGCTGGATATGTAATAACAGGTACACCATAAACAAAACCCACATTTAGTTATTACAGACTCTGTTCAGCTTGCTAGACAGACTGCAGCATCAGGTTAACAAGATCACTAACCTTTGTATTATGCAGTTTTATCTATAAGTCTTCTGACCACTTGATATATTGGACTGGGATTTTTATGCAATTGAATTTTTTTTTAGCATAGCCAAGTCTCTCATGGAAAGTATGAATTTTGAAGAGTCTGGATACAAAATTTAATAGTGAATTTTTTTTTGTATATACAGAAATGAAAAAAACTTGTATGCACACTTCATCAGTCTTGTATGCAGAGACATGTTGTCCATTTATGTTTATTCACAACACCTCTACACTGTGTTACCTGGTAGCACTAAACCAAAGCTGCTAGATGGCATTGCTGTAGTGTTGCACAAAATAGTGGAGGTTTGTCTCTCTTTTGAGCAGTGCAAGATGTTACTGAAATGGTAATGGAAATTTGAAAACATTGCATTTGTGCAACTGATTGAAGACATGAGTATGATGGTACAATACCAATGTGACTCACAATTGCTCAGTTAAGAGACAAATTTGAAGAAGAAGGCGCCTTGCAAGACACACTTCTCAAACATGCACTCTTTGGAATGCAGTTGACACAATGATGTCTGAAAATACATTTACATAGTTAATCATCAAGTGTCATGTGTCAATCTGAGTATGCCTTTTGATTGGTTGCAGTAGAAGAAACAGCAGATCAATCTCAGCAGCATCAGCAGCAGCAACAACAACAACAACAACAACAACAACAACTACTACAACAACAACAACAACAGCAGCAGCAGCAGCAGCAGCTTTATTATGGGCAACAGCAACAGCAGCTGCAGCAACCTTCTTCTCACCAGGGAAGTCCTCTGAAGCATGGACCAACTCCTACACCTCCCTTGCATCCAGCAGGTATGTTCAGTTGTCTTTCATCCAGCACAAACCCTTTAGCTTCACAAATGCTCAGCAGGTGATTTTTGACTGACAAGTTTCGAAGATGCCTATTTTGGGAACCTGTAAAACTTATGGATGGCTATTGTAAGAGAGTCAGAGGTCAGTGGGTCAAGTGTAGACCTTACAGGAAAACATTTTTGAGGGGGGGAAATTAGTGGTGCTGGCTAGGATTAAAAATTTCTTTAATGCCTTTTTATCTGTGCTGTACTTCAGAATCTGCTGAACAAATATCTCTTGAAAAATTTGAAATGGGACTTTTGCATCCCAGGGTATCACCTTGAGAAACAATGTCTTCTCCCACATAAGCATTGAGTTTTCTTCAGTTTAAGCTGACTTTAATCTGCCATTCCCTCTCTACTTCTCAGATGAACCCATTTCTAGCAGCCTGTGAATCAGTTTGGTTGCAATATATTTCTTCCTTCAAGGAAATTTATTATTATTATTCTTGCCTGCCCCATACTTTCTGGAAGTAAAGCTAGGTTCACACCAACAGCATAGCATAGCATAGGGTGACATAGCATAGCAAAAGTGCCCTCGTGCAGTCAAAACCTGGGCTCTAGGGTCTGTGCGAAGAGTTGAGCTGGATTCAACATAACGCACAAGGAACCCATGCTCAGCCGATCAGATCAGAGATGTGTCATCAAACTCATCATAGCAGGTTGCATGGAGGATCTCATAATTGAAGTCCATTGGCCAGTGGCCTATGAACTGACCTAGACAAGAACCACTGGTACCTAAAAATGTCCCCTAGATGTAGGACCATTATGAAAGGTTGTACTATTGCATATATTTAACTAGGCCTAACTTAGCCTGGAATGAGAACTTATTGGGGAGTGAGGATTTCTTGAGCCTTTGTCTCTGATGATCTCTTCTCTGCCTCCAAACGTGACATGCCATGGTTGAAAGGATCAATGTCAAAAGCAGGGCATCAACATCCATAATGGTGAATAACAAGATTTTATTAAGCAGGGTCTACTCTGACTTCATCCAGCCCACTGCCTAGAGGCCTATATGATGCGCCATATTGATGACAGGAACCGCATAGTGTGACGCCAGTGTGAACAAGAACCTGTAGGTGCTGTGCTATTTTATGTCAGTCATGTTACGCTATGCGGTTGGTGTGAACCTAGCTTTACAAGATTTAATCCCTGCTATATCTCCCACGGTGAGCACCATTTTCACAGACAGGCTGAGGTGCAATGGCCTGAAAATAATGTGAATTATGCACACCAACCACTTTCCCTTAGCAAAAGTAATAGAGTTGCTCTGGTGACTTCTCATATGATAAAATTCCTGGAGAGAAAGAGACAGGGATTTTCAGAGGATAGGGAGAATTAATTACAAAATAAAAATGTTGTCACCCTATTTGCTGTCTCATGAACACCATAGAATTCAAAGAGTGGCACTCCCTTTGTCTCATCTGGTATTTGAATATGATCTTGAAATTCAATTTTTTTGCATCTGTTACCTGCATTATTAGACCTACTCATATTTTCACATTGCCATTCTGCTAATATGACATGATGTTATTTGTGAAAGAGACCCTTGAGTTATCAAGTGAAGGATGAAGAGAGGATGCAGATATGGAGCAAATCTTGTTTGTTTTCGTAGTACGCACTGGTATCTTCCATGATGTTTCCCTTCTGAGTCTAGGACTCAGTCTTCTATGTTGGATATCCTACAGCTCATGTATTAAATCAGCCAGATATACAGGGTGGGCCAAAAGTTTTTGCCCCTGTATAAAAATGTGAATATCTCCTGAACGGTTTGGGCTACAGAGTTGAAAAAAAAAACTAAAAGAAAGTTCATTTCATCCTCTTTCTGAAAATGTATGGTTTTAGGTTCCTACATTCATTTGGAGATGAGTCATGGCCGTTTGAAAAAAACATACCGAAAAAAAAA